GGATTAGATTTTTTCATCTTGGTGTTTTCTCTCTCTGTTTACCTTCTGTTATGCGCAAGCTGATAACTTTGCGTCATCATCATCATCACTTCACGTCAAGACGAGTTCACTTTTTTTTTCTCTCAACTTTGTGTGGAAAAATGCGGGGATTATGCTGCCTTTTGATAAATATGCGGCCTTTTAAAAATCTGCGCCATTTTGCTGATTATGCGGTAAATTCTGCGATCGCAGAATCGCGTTTTCTGGAGGGTCTAAAAAATGTACATGCACCAACTTTTTCTATCTCTGTATTGCAAATCCGTATAATGCAGTGATTTCTACTCTCAGACTTTGTATTGAATAACATGTAATTTGTTTTGGCCACATTAAGGGATAATTTATTAACTGCAAACCAGTTACATAGTATTTTTAATTCTGCATTCACAATTTTAACAAGATCGCCAAGATTATGATGGGAGCAGAGAATTCAAAGTTCAGGTTCAGAATCAATATATTTGGGGAGAATTAAAATGAGCCGTCTTTATTTGTAGACAGCCAAGCCCCCTCCTGTGTTCGCAGTAGCGTTTTTATATGTACAAAAGTGGTGGGGCACAAAAAACGTAGATGTCTATATATAAGCTTCTGCAGTGAGGTTCATGGCTGGTGAGGCACTGGCACTGACTCTTCAGGTTTACAAATATTATATTTTGACCTAAATCAAAATATAATATTATTTTCAAAAGCTTTTTTTGGTCTGATGCTTCGATTAATTTTAAACAGACAGTTCAACAAAAGGATACCCAAAAAATGTAATTTGATCATTTAAGTATTGAATTGTTCTCTCTTAGTAAGATCCCATTTTCAATAAAATTGCGGTCTTACTTGAAGATGAAGTCCATTTGCCTATCCTTCTGGACAAAAATCTCTATTACTTTTTTGTAAAAGTCCTCCTTATCTTCTTGTAGTTTCAAAAGTCTATCATAAATCTAATTGATAGATTTATGATTAGAAAATGATAAAAGTAGGGTAGACATGTGGATATTATCCAGCTGAACAAAACGTGCATTTATCTAACAGGTACGTTTCCCACAGATCTTATTTTGAGCTATTTTCTAAAATCCCATGGAGAAATCTCATAGCTTTTTTGTGGAGGGAAGCCATGCGCAGCTTACTTCCTGGTTTTAGGACGCGTCTCTCGTCTCCTCTTCACACACCACACTTGTCGCGGCACACATACTTACAGCCAATCAGCTCTGAATTATGTGAGATGACGTATGGTGGGGATGGCAGCTCTATGGCCCTATGGTCATTATTTGTTTGCCACACACATTAAATAGGACAATACTCTGAGCATGCGCAGTGTAGTTTTTATAGTCACCGTTCACTTAGACAGTGAGAGGGAGGGGCAGGATCGGGTTTTATCCCACATGGCTCTAAACAGCTCAATAGGCACACACTGTAGACACTAATTAGAAGAACACAGACTAAAACAGCAATGTACAGACGAATCAGATGATTAACCATGATCTTAAGGTGGGGCTGTGCCCCACCTGCCCCTAATGACCAGTCACCACTGTGTGTTCGGTGAAGCATTATATGCTTACAAATCCAATGTAGAATATAAACACGACTAAACTGCAATGATAGCAAAGCTGTGGCTTGGGTTTTTGGGGTAATAGTCCAAATCATCGTTGGGCTGACAGCCAATGAGTGACGTCTGAGGAAGATGAAAAATGTAAATTAAACATTGTTGAGAAAATGCATTTATTGACATAGAGGAGCCTTATTGTTTACCTTTTTAATATCATTTTTTGTCATTTTCAATTGCTTGGTTTTCACGAAATTAGCCTGTTTTCCTATTAAAGTGTAACAGATTGATGCATCTCCACAGATCATCTTAAAGGCTTCGGAATCCCCCCCATTGTAGTTAAAAAACTGTCAAAACTAGGGCCCCCAAACAGCATCTTGCATAGGGCCCCCAAAAAGCTAGAAACGGCCCAGGTTGTCCCTCCCCTGGTGCCAGGACCAACAGATCCATCTGGCTCCGCAGCCCTGTCCCCCCATAAGGCTTTGCAGTCTTGCCATGCTGTCCATTGAAAGCCAGTTGGCTAGAAAGCTGGACTTCAAGGACTTGATCAGTGACTTTGCCTGTAAGAAGGCTAGGTGCTGGGCTCTTGGTGAGTAAGGCTGAGCCAGGGCTCGTAATAACTGTTAAAGGGCAAGGCTATGGTATCGATATTGGATCACTACACAGAAGATGCATGATGAGAAAAAGACTGAGAACAGGTAATAGGCTCTGATTTAGCACCCCCATCAGGCCTTTTCACTTCCATTTCCGTTTTGTTGTCCATTTACACTTTAATACCCGCTTATTTTGTAGTTGGTATATTTAATTAAAATCTACTGCTTATGTTATTTTTTTTGTTATAGCATTTTATGAATGATAATATTGGTGTTAATGTTCACTTTATTTTAATTTAAGAGGTCATGTATATTTAAGTTATATTTATTTAGATTTTTGAATGTTCCATTCAAAAATGTTATTAAAAAGGCATGTACACCATAAAAGATGACTATTGAGGTCTATTGTCAGGAATGTTAGTGTTATATCAAAGAGTGAATTCTACTGCAGCAGAATGTTGCACGTCTGCACAGTGTTATATGTTCACCGCTCAGTGTCAGTACATATTGTGCAGTTAGTATTGGACTACAAGATCGATGCTGTACAGGTAGTTATTTAAAGCATAAATGAGTCGGTTGGGTTCTGGAGGTGTGGTTACAGCATTGTGCTTGGTTGGCGTGGCCTGGGCCTGATGGTGGGGCCCAATGTGATATATTTTCATGGGGCCCAAAATCCCTAGTGGCGCCCCTGTGTGTGGGGAGTGTTGCAGTAGAAAATTAAACTGTAGCGCTGGTGCATTAATGGGAAACCCTTAATGTTGAGCACCCTCTATGAAACGTCAAGCTACCCCACAGCACCCCCTAGAGAAAATCTCTGGCGCCGCCACTGTTGAAAAATGACAAATAATTAAGCAAAATAATTAAACAAAATGCCTCTTGAGGGCATGAAGTGACAAAACTTTCAACATGCCTCCATTAAAGCCCATTGTAATTTCAGGCAGATATTTCCTCACGGTAGCAGCCTTTAGTTAAACTGCCAAAAAGGCCACATTATTAACCCGGAAGTACACACAAATTACACTTCAGATACTCAACTTCCTTGACATGCTTCACGTTTTGAAATTTCACAGATATCTGTTACGGTTCTTCCACAAAACGTTCACATGTAAGAGGTTTATCTCTCATTCAGAACAATGGAAATCTTTGATCTCTGGACACCTCGTTAGCTCAAATATAAACACCTGTGTCATGGAACACGATGATGTCATCACACACAGGTGTTGTGTTTGAGCTAACGAGTGGTCACTGGAGTTTAACAGACTGTCAGCCTAGTATTTTCTGTCTGATGGAGACTTCATACTGACTTCAACATGTTCCACCTATTTTATACATTATTGGTGACACACAGCTGTCGTCGTTAGCTCAAATATAAACACCTGTGTCATGGAACACGATGTCACATTGACAGGTTTGGTAACGATGCAGCCATCAACGCATCTAAGCGTATTATGGGGTGTCATCAAATGACGTTGCCAGGGCGACAGACCACTCGCCATGAAGTCGCTGTAAGTCCAATGGACATGGTCCGTTCGTCCCCCAAAACTTCGCTTGTATATCACCGGTCCAGCCCTCAACAGCTCTACGTCAATTATGGGGTTTCTTCAAATGCCGTTGCCATGGCAACACAATACTCGCCTTGAAACACGGTTTTCTCATAACTTCAGTGAAAATACTCCAAACACCCCAAAACTTCACAGGTTTGGTAACGATGCAGCCATCAACGCATCTAAGCGTATTATGGGGTGTCATCAAATGCCGTTGCCATGGCGACAGACTACTCGCCATGAAACACGATGTCGCTGTAAGTCCAATCGTCCCCCAATCTTCATTTCAATCTAAATTCTTCACTTTCTTCTGACACATTACATTTCAGCATAGCAATTCAGCGTCAGCTTTTCAGCATAAAGTATTCCCACTAGCAATTTCTTCAGGAATTGCATTCTCTAGTTGTTGGTCTACTGTCTGAATATGATTAATGAAAGGCAGGTTTTCTTTTTTCCAAAAACTGAGCAAAGGACACATGTTAATACTAAATATCTTGATTTCATATTTTGAAAGTTTACTAAAAGTGCTGTTGACTTACACAATACACTTAATTAAACGTGTGGCTAATGCAATGAGTTCACCAGAAAATGAAACAAGTAAAAACAATAAAGCATAATGTAACCAGGCAGATATGTCCATGCATGTACCTCCTTTTTTTGTCGGGCCTTTGCTTATTTTACCAATCTGTATGTGCAGGAGATAAAGATGTGACAAGTGGTGACTGGAGAAGGCCTGACGGAATATTCGTGTTCACTGCAGCAACTTACGAAACTATTCCATAAAACGGTCATCTCGTGGCCATCTTCCTGATGTACTCCTGGACCTTTGGTGTTTCACCCTGGATTGTGGCCCTGACACTCAGACAATGTCAATAACGTGGTTGAGTTAAAATGAACTCAGTAGTCATGTACCCAATCTTTGAACCCTGCTACCTCCTGTACAGATATTAGCAATCACATTCATACTGAGCCGAATTTAAATTAGTTTATATCTAGTTGATAAACGATATCGAATAGTTATGGCTCACTAGAGCGAAAACATATTCAATGATTGGTGGTTCATGGTTTTAATGATTTTTGACCCTAGGTATTTCTATCCAAGCCACCCAATATGTTATAATATATACGAGGCAAAATATAAGGACATTAATCATTTTCATGTATTAATAAATAATAGCCAATACATATTACGTGCTAACCATGACAATGCTTTTATTTCCATCAGTGAAAAAAACAAAACCTGCAATGTTGTTTTTTTAAATCCTACAGACCCTTTTACATTTTACATAATTCTCATTAGATTATTCAGAATTGAATCATAAAGCATGAGTGTGAAAGTCTGTGAGAACTCTACAACACAAACATCTTGAAACCTTTCATTTTGTTTGAGAATTGTAAACTCGTAGTGAGAATTTTCTCCAGCCACCCCCTAGACCTAAATGTCCATTTAAAAAAATAAATGAATAAAAAGCAGTAATTATTTGGAAAATGTTAACTCTAATCTCAGTATTATTTCCCCCCAAGAGAAAATCATAAAATAATTAAGCTACATTTTTGAGCTTGCATAGAAAAAGAATGCATCTTAATTGAGAACTGTTGGAGCCAGAGCTCTAAGCCCTGAAAGCTGCTGGTTTCATTGTTTTGCTCGATTAAGTTAAAGGAGGATGCGCACTAAGGCTTCACAACCATACTTGTGGAAAAATGCCAAATGTTCCCTTTGCAATTTGTCAGTTTTAAGTTGCTTAAAATTCTTAAATTCAGTTCAATGTTTTAATCCTTAGTCTTTAACACACTACGTGTGAACTACGAACCTGCAGTGCAATCCTTAATGTCAAATATCCAGACACCTTCACAGCTCCTAAAGGTTATACACTTGTAAAAACGGAGACTTGACAAAGTAAAAAGCACACGGCAATTGTCTAGGTGAAGAGTTTGTTTTTCAGGCTGATGAACTTGGAGGTTTGCTTTGGTTGAAGCATATCAAGTCCTACAAATAGTCTTTGAAAGACTTCAAAAGTCTTGGCAAATTTGGGAGGATAATCCAGATTTAGGGCATATGTGAGGCCAAGGAGAAGGCAGCAGGCTTTGGGCAGGTTATCCAGATCTGTCATCACTGGAGTTCCATCAATGATGATGCCCACTGCATCTGGCTGCTGGCAGACATAGATCCTCATACTTTCTGCTTGAAGGTCTTGATGCACTTTCGTCTCTGCTGTTCTCTATAAAAAACATACATTACATCACATGTTAGACGCTTTTATCCAAAGCGACTTACATACTCAATACTGTGGGCAATCCCCACAGGAGCACTTTGGGGTGAAGTGTCTCAGGGACACAACGACATGCTGACTGCAGTGGGGCTCAAACTTGCTACCCCCTGAAGTCCAGCACTCTATCCACTGAGCCACAGCCGCCTGATGCATACATACAATCTTACATTGCACTTGACAAGCTTTGAAATAAGAAAACATGCAAACTTAAGATAATTAATGTAATCCATTTCAAATAATGACTCAATGTAAGGAGCAGGAATTGTTTTATTTTGTATAAATTGTATTTCCTCTTCAAAAGGTCGAGCCAAGTGGGAGGGGCTACGGGATTAAAAAGGGAGTCTTGGTTTTGGGTCAGCGGAGGTAACCACCATGCAGTCTATCCTGACTGATTTGTAACTTTATTTCACTTTTTTATTGAAGTACTCATTTAGTTTATTTCAATCTTTTTTGTGTTTGGAATTACTTAGAATTTAGCACTTTGTTTAAAAAGTTACAAGTCATTTGAGGTCACGTTTTCAAGGTCGATTCCATTTATGTGTGAAGTGTGTGAGAGGATTACTAAAATACAATGTTTTTAAATCCTTTATATATGCATAAAATATATATAAACATATATGCAAGTGTGTGTATGCATTCATCTATACAAACACGCCTTAAAATACAGTAATAAGGGCAATACTTACGAAGTAGTCAGAGATGAGCTCAGGCACACTCTCCCCCAGGTACTCTATGAGGCATCTCAGAATCACGTCCCTCTTCTTCACCACGGACACATGTTGATCCTACAGTTAATCATTGGATCATAAATAAAAGTAGAACCGTATGGCTTGGTGAACATGAACACATTTATCTTCAAACCAAAGACAATTGGAATAAACCTTAAGCTCCGGATTCATTCATTGTTTGTCTTGGTTCTACACCCCTTCCTCACCTGTCTTAGTTCAGTCATGAAGCCCTTCATGCGCTGTCCAACAGCTCCTCCCTTTGAGCTGAATAACTGCAGGAACTTTGAAGTGAACCTGTCCAGCTGAGACATAAACGTTGACTCCAGGGGAATAGTGTTGCACCTTCGGAACTCTTCATTTATCTGGAGGAGAGGATTTTGTCAACTACTTATACAGAAAACATAAAAAGGGTGTATGAAGCAGGACAGGAACATTCACATTTAGTGTGATAAAGTATAATAACTGCAGAAGAACAAATGTTGGTAAGTTGGTATCACTGACTCGACCAAACAAAGTTCCAATTACATGTCTAGAGCTGACAAAAGGTGAGCTAAATGCTAACTTTGTGTTTCTCCCTGCCACAGCACTCTGTGCTGCTGGGGAAGCAGGGGGGGGGCGGGGGAGAGAAAAGTCACTAACACTAAGAAAGTGGATCACATCACTCCTGTTCTGAAGTCTTTACACTGGCTTCCTGTGTGTCAAAGAATACATTTCAAAATACTGCTGCTGGTTTATAAAGCACTGAATGGTTTAGGCCCAAAATACATTTCTGACCTCCTGCTAAATTATGAACCATCCAGATCTCTCAGGTCTTCAGGGACTGGTCAGCTTTCTGTCCCCAGAGTCAGAACTAAACATGGTAAAGCAGCGTTCAGTTATTATGCTCCAAATATCTGGAACAAACTCCCAGAAACCTGCAGGTCCGCTACAACTCTGACTACTTTTAAATCCAGGCTGAAGACTTTTCTTTTTGTCGCTGCTTTTAATTGAACTATTCATATCTTAGACTGCACTGTAACTTTTATCCATGTATTTTATACCCGTGTTATTCATGTTTTCTTTTGCTTTTTAACTTCTGTTTTTAAATGCCGTTTTATAATTAGTTTTCACTGCACTATTTCTTAATGTCTTTCATTTTTGTAAAGCACTTTGAATTGACTTGTGTTGAAAGGTGCTTCATGAATAAACTTGCCTTGCCGAAGTCCTTTTCAGGTTTCTGCGACTTTTTTTGTAAAAATACACAAATACTATAAATAAGCCTCATCAACCAGACCTGGCTATACATAATGTATGCATATATAGACACAAAACACATGTACATATGCATATATTTTCCCATAATATCAGATGTTGCCATACAAAAGTGTGTCTGTTTAATTCAAATCTATCTTGTTCTACTCTCTCATTATTGGTTTGTAGTATCTTTAAGCAGCTGATGGGGCTTCTTTCATGCCGGAGGATCAGATATGCTTAAACCCAATTCATTCTTCCAAAAGTTTAATAATGGGTTTTTTCTAGCAGAAAGGTGCTGGCATGGCCCTGGGGTATCATTCTTGCATTTCATCACTGGTGCTTCAATAGTATGTTTTTATGACAATAATGTATAAAAAAATGGGTATGAGACGGCATAGGCCCCTCACACGTTGGGAAGATTAAACACACGGTGATGCTCTGGGTCCATGATAAGCTCTGGCTGCAGTGTGACCGAGATATTCAAAAGGATAAACAAACATGAATACATATCAAATGTAGAATTTGCAATTGGAACATTTGTTGGGTGAGTTTTCTTTTTTTTAAAAGTACGATTACAAAACTGTGTCTGGTAAATAATATTGAGTAAAAGAAAAACTTGAATTCCAACACTGGCTGAAATACTTTCTACAGATACCAAGTTTGGAGGAAACATATACACTAACATTTCTTAAGATTCCCATTTAGTGAGTCTCTCACAAACCCCACTTTGCTACACTACAGGGTGCGGAAGGATCATTCAACCCGTTTCTTTACCTGTGCAGGATTGAAGAGGGCAGGCCATCTCTCATAGAATTGTGCCACTTGCATGGACTGGCCGACCACTTCCCTTCGTCTACAGCTGTATGTTCTCGACATCATGTCATTCATCATCTGGCTATTGTCCCTGGACTTGCTTGCTGAAATGAGCTCAAGTCTTGTATTCTCCAGGCTGTCATCAGTTTCACCGGCTGGGTGTGGGGGGTAGTAGTTTACCTCAGATTTCCTTGGTTTCTTTATATTTTTGGCAGGTTTTCTGTCACACTCTTGCTTGTGTTTCAGTGTATTAATCATCAGTTCAGGGTTTCCATGGGCTTTAAGTTTGCTCCGGTAGTTTGCACATTTGTACTTTAGGCTTTGCTGCCACCCGTCACATCCGTTATAGGAGCCGGGCTCCCTCAAGCAGGGGTGCCTCTCTATAAGTGCATGTGCAACGGCAGTCCTCTGTGGATCATTGGGGTAAGCTGTGTAGGAAAACATGGCCTCAGCCAGGCGCTCCAGAATGTCCGATTTAACACTTTGTGACGTCAGCAGGGTTCCGTCTTTTAAAAAAATGTCATTGCCCTGCTGCAAAGCCATCTCTGTGTTGTAGGAGAAAACGGGAATTGGAAAGATGGCAGGCCACAGGTTACGCCTGTCAGTGGCAAGGGGGCTGTGAATTACTGGATCTTGTGAATCCACAGAGGGCAAATCATCCACCGGGGACATGTCAGATGTGTCATGGTTGTGCTCCTGAGGGACTGTGGACTTTAATAGGCCTGGTGGAATGTGCACTACCTTGAGTGTGTCTTTATCCTTGAGGTCACTTGTAGAGGTTAGCGTGAAGAAGTCATCAAAGTCAGTATCTTTGTACTGAAGACCTATTTCTGTGGTGATGGAAAAAGCTTGTTTAAACACTTTAATCAAATCCTCCACAGATGAGGGGAGGCCATTTTGAAAAGTTATCTTCTTTATTTCGTGATGGATGACGACTCGAAATGTAAAAGCTTGTTGCATATCTGCAAATAAAAGAAACACAAGCAGTTATACGAGAGTTAAACATGCTCCTGTGGTCTTGAAACCAGGATGTACAGCTATATCTTAAGGTTAAAGATAGGGTTACTTTATGGTTACCATGGAAGAAGATTGCTTTTGAGAAAAAAAGAGTTGCATTTGGACCACTTTATGCATGTGAAGCTTGGGAAGAACTTGTAAAACTCGGTTTCACTTTGATATAATAAAAAAAATATATATAATAGATTTCATATATATTTCTTATTGCTACATAAACGTCATCTTGCACATTTTATTGAACCAACTCAGCTTCTAACTTTCAATATCATTATTCCGCTCTCTTCACTCCACAAAAGAGATCTCTCTCTCGTCTGTGTGCACAGATCTGCCGGGAGAACGGAGCGTTCAGAAGTAGAAGGACAATGCTCGTTTGCCATTAGTGTTTTTGTGTAAGCGCAGTAACACGAGCAGTCTGTCCAAAAGGCGTCTTATTCTGTCAGAGAAGTGCACAATGGGTGGCATTGGGATATGGGTGGCATTGGGAATGTAAATCCTCTGGAGCAGAGAGAGGAGCTGTGGATTATTGTTATTGATTAATGCATCAGTGTTTCTTAGGGTCAAAAACACCAAACTCACAACTTAAAATGAAAACGTTTATGTAATAAAAGAGCACATGTTCAATGTGAGAAGTGACAGTAGATATAGATTAGTTGCAATTTGGTGCTATATATATATATATATATAAAAATAACAAAATTATTATTATTATTTTTTTTTTTTAAACACCTTGAATTTCAGGGGGGGCACGGGGCTCCGTTGGCGGGGCGCAGCGCCCCTCCAAGACAATGGTAGGGGAAACACTGAAGCTGGTAAAGGTGCAGCTAGTTTGAATGACTTTGTATACTGCAGTGTAGCTTGTGGATTTACTCCAGGTGGAACTAAAGTCTGATTCAACACTTGATTACAGGGATGCAAACTCATCAGGTATGAAAAAGGTGACAAGGACCCGAGCCCCCCGACCCCACGGAATATCGGCTTTAAAATGAGGAATAACAGGATGTTAGCAGTCAGAACAACTAAAGCAGCAGGTAATAATAACAGAAACGCTAAAGAGTCACATCTAATAGAAATATATAAAAGCATTTATTTGAATTGTGTAGCAGTCAGTTTATCATTTTGGCAGCACTGTTGAGCATTTTGAAAATGTATTTTCATGCCTCTGTGCAAGGCTTAGTCTTTCTATCTGTATCGCCAGAGGTAAGTTCATAAACTCAAGTACTACTTGGGTACAATTTTGAGATACTTGTACTTTATTTAAGTATTTCAATGTTTTGCTACTTTGTTCTTCTTCTCCTCTACAGTTCAGAGGTAAATTGTATTTAATCCCTTTAGTTACTTTACAGATCAGGATGAATGATGTGAAATATAATCAAGTGTTGAATCAGACTTTAGTTCCACCTGGAGTAAATCCACAAGCTACCCTGCAGTATACAAAGCCATTCAAACTAGCTGCACCTTTACCAGCTTTGAGAACACTTTCATGATCAATCATTATAAAACATATCATATATATTATTCTGAAATGGACCAATCTGCACAATGACAACTTTTACTGTCGCTCCTTTCACTATATTTTGATGAGAATACTTTTGTAGGCTACTTTTATATGAGGAACATTTTGATTGCAGGATTGTTCCTACATTCTGGTACTTCTACTTTTACTCAAGTACAAGACCTGAGTACTTCTACTTTTACTGAAGTACAAGATTTGAGTACTTCTACTTTTACTCAAGTACAAGATCTGAGTACTTCTACTTTTACTATAGTACAAGATCTGAGTACTTCTACTTTTACTCAAGTACAAGATCTATACTTATACCACCTCCGTTTATAGCCTATGAAAAAAACTATTAGAAAACGAAGGCTAAAGCTAACGTTAGCACATAGTGACAATGTATGCTAGCTAGCTAGCTCAACGACAATATTGCGACAGAAAAACTTTTCATTGCACATCACGCTCTGCGCTCCGACAGGGAGCTCTGCTCTGAACACCTGAACGGCCCGTTCTAACAGCTGTTCACCAGCGGTCCAGTCTGTGCCACAGTGACTCCGGACCACACAGTTAATATTAACAAATGCACCCGTAGGTAATGTAGCTGCTGAAGCTAGACCATCTTCGCGGAGCAGCAGAGCCGACAGGCAGGAAGACTCGAGCACACAGCTCGCGCTTCATTATTATTAGTGCTGTAGCGACGCGTCGACTTCAAAATATCGTCGACGACATATTTCCGCGTCGCCACCATAGACTGTATATATGATCGCCACACACACGTGGGTCACCCAAAGCAACAAGCAGTTCGCAATCGCACTTCTAACACAATGGAGACTGAAATGGCTATCACCTCCTCCTCACAGGATTGCGCACGAAGCCCTCAAACGAAAACATCTCGCCCTAGGTCTTCAAAAGCATGGGAATATTTTAAAGTTAGTCCAAAACGCAAAGATATTTATATATTTATATCTCAGAGACTGCTGCTTGACCGGAAGCAGCAGCTAGCTGTGGTGGCAACCATTAGCAGCTAGCATTTGCTCTCCGATTTTTACATAAAAATGGAATTATGGATTATAAATTCAATAATTTTTGTATACATAAACGTTAAAAACCTATGGATTAACCGATTCAGCCGCGTTTTTTCTCATTTTAATGCCATTGAACACGTATTTTGATCAGATTGACAGCTACGGCGTTGAGACGATCTCCTTAGAAGCTCTGTGAAGGTACGTGTTGTGATGACTGTATTTGCTTCCCCTGTCGCGAGTCCGGATCACTCAGTGATGACACTATGTACCTACATAATCTGTGGAGTCTCAGCTTTAATCGGATATCTTGTATGTGCAGCTACGATAAGTAATAAGGGTACTTTTATCTTGAGTTCTGTGCCAATGTCCGTTAGCATTTTTCGCTCAGGGGTCATTTAGATAGCATTTTAGTTTGCTTCTTATGAGACTTGTGTTTTGTTTTGTGTTGGTAAACATGGTTTGTATCATCAGTTAGCTGAGATTATTTCCGTTAATCTGGTATAACACATTAATAGGTTCTTAAATATTAAGATCCCCTGAGACACAGTATCGTGAAAAAACTTTTTTTTTACATCACGTTTTTTTTACATTACGTTTTTTATGAATTGAACAACAGAAAAATAATCGTTCGATTAGTCCACTAATCGATCAAATAATCGCCCGATTAATCGTTTTCAAAATAATCGTTTCCCCCCAGCACTAATTATCATATATAAAAAAAGAACACCATGCGTGTCATGATGGCACATAACAGCTCGCGGCCGCAGATTACTCCGGGTCCCAGACCCCCCATACCCCAACAAATAATTTTTATTGCAGATCTACATGAATCACACAAACGACCTATTTTGGGTTCAAAACAGCAAATTTCGCCGAAAGGTGACAAGTTTGCATCCCTGTGATTATATTTCACATCATTCATCCACATCTGTGAAGTAACTAAAGGTATTAAATACATGTAGTGGAGGAAAAGTACACCATGTACCTCTGAACTGTAGTGGAGTAGAAGTACAATGTAGCAAAACATATACATTAAATAAAGCAATGTTAATTCCGTTTCTAATTTGTTTAGTTTTTCAAAAATAACCGATAAAAATGCAGCTAAAGTACCGGATCGATAAGCAGTATCGTGTAGGAATAGTAGTACCGTTAAAATCTTCACGATACCCATCCCTAACCACTAGTCATTGATAGGAAGGCTATGTGTGAAATAGGAATGGAATAGTGATGTGATTATTTGCAACCTGCAGTACTAGTTACTACAGTATTAGTTCCTGTTGATATATATATATATATATATATATATATATATATATATATATATATATATATATATATATATATATATATATATATATACATCATAACACTTTTTATAATTAAAAATCTACTATCCAGGGAGGTAGGCCTGCTTGTTTCAATTAGGCCTAATTATTTCACAGTGGCACAGGGTCATTTGCCAATACAAGCACTTAAGATCATGTTCAATCTATGATAAAAAGGTAAAATTATAGTTAGATCTTTGTGTCTTGTTATTATTAGTAGAGAAAATGTAATGTTTGTACAACTATATATAATTCATCCTACCAATCTCGGTGGGAACCAGGCTACGGGGGCTCACAAATACTTCCAATTACCCAAGAAGGGCCTGACTGAAAACGTTTGGGAACCACGAAGCTATGCAGTGTTATTCCTTCTTTACACTTTCAGTATCACTCCAGGTCTGAGAATAACATGTGTTATATGGTTGATGGTTCCATTCCAACTCAGTCTATCCAGGCCTAGAGTCCACTAGGATCAGTAGTACGGAAAACAAAAAACAGCTCGGTAGTCTAATGTAACTTTTTACAATTATTCATAGATTAAAAAAAACTTGAAAAGAGCGGGACAAATTAGGAAAAGCATGATTGGATGATGGGGAGGACTGGATTTAAAACAGACTATATACAGTTAATGATCTTAATCCACACAAAGGAACATTTTAAAAACACTTTGTGCAGCAGATAAACCCTGTCCAGTCAGGTGGAGCTGAGCCACGGCTCACAGCTGACCAGCTTCTGTAGAAGGAGGACATGTGGGAAGCAGTTCATTTACTGTTCTTCTTAATATGACTTGAGAGCCTTAAACTTAAAAGTGATCTATGAACCTATCTGTGATTCTAGAAGTTATCTCTTGAACCCCAATGGAGTAGGCCACCGCAGGAAACTAGTTAATTGAAGTCAGAGGAAAAGTGTAAAGTAACATTTACCATGTTATCAAATCATGCTTTACCATGAAACACTAATTTGGCCATATTGCCCATACTCGTAATAAAATAACGCCAAATTCCTCTTGTATTGATTACAACCTTTGTGTAATATACCAAAGATCAAATGGACAGTAGCCTACTGTGTGTTTGAATTTCCGTTTTACTTTGAAGACCGGGAATGCTAAAACTATTGATGCCGCGGGAGCTCAACGACCTTTTATCAAACACGACAAAACAACTAGTCCGTTGCTTTACAGGTAGAAGAGAGGAATAGCGATATATTGCTGAGTTTCAGCGGAGCAGTGGATCAGATACCTTCGGTGTGGATCTGGGACCCGGACCTCTCGTTCGAGAGCAGCCTCCGTTGGCGGGAGATCTCTTCTTCATAGTTTGAGATTGTTGTTTCCAGCAGCCCAGATATCTCCTCCACAGCGACAGCAAGCCGCTGGCTGATGAAGGTTTTCAGTGTCTCGAGTGTGGACATTTTCAGGTGAAAAGTGGCATGTGTAAAACTTCTTCTTCTTCTTCTTCTTCTTCTTCTTCTTCTTCTTCTGAGGTTTATTGGCGGTTGGCAACCAACTAAAATGTGCATTACCGCCACCTAATGGACTGGAGTGTGGATCGGTAGATTGGCAGGAAAACAACAACATTAAATTGCCTCTTTAATTCTAGTTGCTTTTAAGAAAATGTTGAACAGGCTGAATACTATGGAAGCAAATAAGAGACATTGGTGTAGTTTGTGTAGCTCTTTCTCATTTCATGCATGCAGGCCATCCCAGGCCTATTTTCAGAGAGGACCTTGAAGGCCAAATCAAATTAGCTTTTTTTCATCAGTTGATTCAATATATGAAAGTGATTAGTGCAGGGATTAAATGAGGGGTGTGAAATGTAATGTCAGATCACATTCCTTTTATAATGTCACTAGATTATGATAGTCTCCCTGAGATGTCTCAGGAGGTTAAAAATGCCTGTACCACTAAAGTGGACTGGTCCAAGCTCACAAATGAGGATAGGCTATTGTACTATGGGAGAACTGATGTCCTATTGAGTGATGTATATCTACCCAAAGTGGCAACGATGTGGGTTGTAATGAAAACTCTCACCGTGAAGACCTCTGTAACATGTATGATTGTATTGTGGGAGCTGTATGGGAGGCCAGTAGACCGTGCTGTACCTACTCTAGGAAAATACACAACGTCAAGCCAGGGTGGAATAAACATGTGGCTGATCAATACGCTGAAGCCAAGAATGCTTTTGGGGCCTGGGTCCGGGCAGGAAGGCCCAGAGAGGGGCCTGTCCTGGATCTCAAAAAGCGTACAAATGCTAGATATAAATATGCAGTTCGTTATGTCAACAAACACACAGAAACATTGAGAGCGGACTCTATGGCTGAAAAGCTCCTTCATAATGATGTGACTGGCTTCTGGAAGGAGGTGAGAGCTCTGAACAGGGCCAGTACGTCATTACCGTGTACCATAGAGGGAGTATCTGGAGCCGATAACATAGCTGAGTTGTGGAGGCAACATTACTCTACTATACTTAATTGTGTTAAAAGTGACCCCTACAATGTTGGTAATGTTGTGAAAAGTGACACAGTGGGAATCACAGCTAAAGAGGTTTATCGAGCAATTGCACAGCTAGCTGATAACAAAGCATGCGGCTCTGACCGAATCATTGCAGAGCACCTTAAACTGGCAAGCCCGAAGGTTGCAGTTATTCTTGCCATTTGTTTTACCGGCCTCATGGCTCATGGTATGTTGCCAGACTCCATGTTGACTGTTACTTTAGTCCCTGTCATTAAGGACACAGCGGGCAAGGTAGGGAGCTTGGATAACTATAGACCAATTGCTCTAGCCAGTGTGTTATCCAAAGTCCTGGAAATAATTTTGTTAGATAGACTATGTTCCTATTTATGTACCTCAGATAACCAGTTTGGCTTCAAGGCTAAGCATGGTACTGAGCTATGCATCTATGCTTTGAAGGAAATGGTAGAAACATATAGAAGACAGAATTCCACTGTTCTGATTGGTTTTATTGATGCCTCTAAGGCAGGGATGGGCAAATGGCGGGCCGCGGGCCGCATGCGGCCCCCACCTCCTCTTTTTGCGGCCCTCAGATTAATTTATAAACAACGTAATTTACTTGTAGTACTGATACCGTCCACTAGACTCCTAGCTACGTCACGAGCTGCGTAGATGATTTCAAATACCGCAAAATAATCTGTGACGCATTTGTGTGTATTGTGTTTGTTTCCCGGGGAAACCCTCACAAGAAACACCGCTGTTGTTATGCCTGCTGTGACGTTAAGTTGCCTCTTGTAATTATGCCTTTACAATCTTAAAAGTTGTTTTTAACATCTGAATTTGGCGAAACAAGTTATCTAATGGTTAATCTCAATACACACACATTTTCCATGCTTTCCAATAGTTTAAAATAGTTTTATTCCACTGTTTAATAACCTGTTCAATACAAACATGCCACTTGTAAAAATGAAATAACATTTCTGTGAACTGATATTTGGATGTTCCCATTTTTTGGGGATGTTCCCTTTGATTGTAAAATGTCAATGAAGATGTCAGACTTAGTATATTTGTTAATAATTAAATACAACACATGGAATTTTTGTGTGTGTGTTCCAAGTGAATCTGCGGCCCCCTGGTGGCCAGTACATCAATGATGTGGCCCCCACCACCATCAAAGTTGCCCATCCCTGCTCTAAGGCTTTTGACCGAGTTAACCATCATAAACTGTTTTTAAAATTGAGACAAAGGGGTGTGCCCAACAGTATAATTAGGATCCTGGCTTATTGGTATGCCAACCAGAGCATGCGTATCAAATGGGGGAATGCAGTCTCGGCGCCATTTGGTGTTGGTAATGGAGTCCGCCAGGGGGGGCTCCTCTCACCATGCCTTTTTAATATCTATATCAGGGGTACTCAAATACAAATCTTAAAGGTCCAAAATAAATGTTTCAATAAGACAAAGGTCCGTTTATTACGGTCATTCAAACTTTTAAACAATTGCAACAAGATTCTTAACACGAGGTTGCAAAAACAAAAATAATCTGTATGCAGCAGTTTTCATTGTTGTTGTGTCTGTGCTTGACCCCTCAGAGTCGCAGTGTAAGAGCTGCACAGTTATGAATAAAGACAGCTGCACCCTCTTTCATTCAGCATTCCCATTATTGCTTTATAAATGTATTCCCCCTTGTGTGTCCACTGAGGTTCATCAGGCCCAACACATCTTCAACAAACTCCCCCTTTGCCTCATCATAAAAACTCACAAACACCAGCAACTGAGCATTGTCAGTGGACTCACCCACAGCCAAGGAAATGCACTGACTTAAAACAGTTTTTTGGGGGCAGACCCCCTCAAAGAAAAAAATATATTTACACACGTAAGGTCATCATCTTAATAGTTGTGTATGCTCATCCGTGAGCAGAGCATCACGTTGACATGTCTATTACAGCTGAATGCGGCGATTACCATTTTGTTCAGCAAAACGCCTCACAAACTTATTAAGATCAACAGCTTTAGTGCGTTTTGATTCAATGCTGAGTACAGCCACACTGACAGTCTCTTCTCTGTCATTGTAGACCGCAAATACCTCATTCCTTCAGTGCTTGGGTCCGAATGCTTCTCGTTTTGCGCCGTCCAGTTCAAAATGAAATCGCCGCCAATCGTATGTCCACGCTCGCGCCAGGACCGGGGGAGGGGTTACATGACGTGCATCTTGTGCTGCATTCACTTGCACTCGGACATTAGAGACTTTCTCTCATAAATGTCCGATGAGCCACAACATTTCTTTCAAAACAAAGCTGCCAACTGGGGTGGCAGCTGGGGTGGCAAGGCCTATTTTTAGAGTGTCAGTTGCCACCCCCGTAGGTGAAACTAGGCTACTAGCTACAGTACAGATGGAACTAGATGAGCTGTTAACTCTCGCTCTGAATTTTTTTTTTAAATTCTCGCTCTGACTTAGACAGGTTGAACGAGACACACACATTTTTCCCACCCGCATTCCGCGAAGACCCGCCCTACTGTGCCTCTGATTCGCAGATTGTTTGGGGGGAAAAAACGCTGACTGGATGCTGAATGTGATTGGACCAAAGCGTTGACACACACAGGTGGAACACAGTGGAACAGTCAGACATGCAGAGTGCTGTTTGCAGTGGACATAGCGGAGAATTTTGACTCGTTGCGAATGCGTTGTGGCGATGTCTCACATATAATACAGAGAGATAATACATATGAAAAGTATAATTTGCTCGGAGTCCGGAGACAGTGCTGGTTCGGTCCGGATCCGGACCGGAGTCCGTAGTTTGAGGATGCCTGATCTATATGAATGATCTATCAGATTATTTAAGTGTCTGTAAAACAGGGTGTGTGATTGGTAATGTGATTGTAAACCATTTTATGTATGCCGATGATCTGGCAATTGTTTCTCCTAGCAGTGCTGGTTTTCAACAGTTGCTAAATGTTTGTTCTGATTACGGAGTCAAATTTGACGTTAAATACAATGCTAAGAAGAGCGCTGTAATGATCTGCAGAGCACAAGAGGATAAGAACCTTTGTTTTCCAACATTCTATCTGTCAGGACAGGTGCTGTCTGTTTGCTGTAACACTAAGTATCTGGGACACATCATCACAGATGAAATCGGTTTTAAAAAAAAAAAAATGTTTAAGAGTGCGCTTAAGACCTTCCTTTTTGATAAAGCTTATAGTTAGGGCTGATTAGATTCAGCCCCTAGTTTTGCTGATATAGGCTTAGTTTGTCGGGGGACATCTTACTTCTTCCTTCTCTCTGTCTATACTTGTGTACTCTCATGTTCCGATTAACCCAGCTTCCCCAAATTTATTTCTTTTTGGTGTCTATATACGTCGGGATCCGGAGTCATGGATGATCCTGCGCTCCTCTGTCCTGGATCGCGAGCCCTGGATCTTAAGTCGTGGCTGTGGTCCTGGATCATAGGTCCTGGATGGATATCCTCGTGGATTCATCTTCCTATTATACACACATGCATTTCCAAACATTTGGACTACCTATGTTGCAAATGTATTATCTTTTCAATTTACACACGGCATCTATTGCACGTCTGTCCGTCCTGGGAGAGGGATCCCTCCTCTGTTGCTCTCCCTGAGGTTTCTCCCATTTTTCCCTTTAAACTGTGGGTTTTCTTCGGAAGTTTTTCCTTGTACGATGTGAGGGTCTAAGGACAGAGGGTGTCATATTGTCATACTGATATTTTGTACAAACTGTAAAGTCCACTGAGACAAATGTAACATTTGTGATATTGGGCTATATAAATAAACATTGATTGATTGATTGATTGATTGATGAAATGGCTGATGATGATGACATGTATAGACAGCGGCGTGTCTTATATATACAAGCCAACATGTTGGCTAGAAAATTCTCTTGGTGTTCAGATAAGGTTAAGGTGAACCTCTTTACGGCCCGTCCACACAGCGGCGTGCGTTGAAGCTTCCAACGCTTCTGCCCATTCACTTTGAATGGGGTGACGTCACTTTTAGCCAAACTGCATCGTGGGAAGCGACGCGGAGC